AGTCCCGCGGAGAGCGCAGCGGTTCGGGAGCCATCAACGAGCCCACGGTGGCCCGGGCTGAGCCAGAGAGAGGCGGAGAGTCCCGCGGAGAGCGCGGCGGTTCGGAAGCCATCTCTGAGCCCCAGTGTCTCGGTGGCTGCCCGCGGGCCCGGAGGAACGGCGGCTCCGCGCGCTGGTTCCCGCACCCGGCGGGAGGACCCCGCGCTCCCCTGGCCCCGCCACCTCGCTGCCTCCTCACCTGCCTGCCGGGTGAAAATGCTTCTGCCTCCTAACATGGCACTCGGTTACCCCAGAAAAATGGGCTTCACGCTCTGGATACAGAGGAGTGAGGCTGAGCTGGCAAAACCGGTGACCCCGTCCCCCGACCCACTCTTGGAGCAGCGACCCCGTCCTCGACCCACTCTTGGAGCAGCCACCCCGTCCCAGACTCACTCTTGGAGCAGCGACCCCGTCCCCGGACTCACTCTTGGAGCAGTGACCTCGTCCCCGGACCCACTCTTAGAGCTTTTCTGGCTCCCTGTCACAGGGTGATTCCTCTGTCCTTTGCTTGTGTTGTGGGATCCTGGCCAACCCACTTCATGTCAACAACAGGGAGATGGTCAGTTAAGTTATGGCAAGACCTCTGGATAAATTGAAGGTGCGTTATTAGGGTGGGATCACAGTTTGCAAGAACATGAGGGAAGCATCTGTAACGATGCCAACTGAATGAAACAGAGGTGGGCCCAGCGGCTCAGACCTGCAATCCCAACACCTGGAGTCCAAAGCGGTGGGTCGCTGGAGCTCAGGAGCTCCAGATCAGCCTGAGCAAGACCCTATCTCAGACTAGCCCAGTGTTGTGGCAAGTGCATGTAGTGCCAGCCACTTGGGAGGCTGAGGCAAGAGGACCACTGGATCCCACAAGTTTGAGGTTGCTGTGAGGTATGATGCCAGAGTGCTCTACCCAAGGCCACAGAGTAGCAAAAAAAAAAGTAACAGAGAACAAAGAGTTATTGCCAGAATAAGACTAGATGGAGTTATTCCTTAACATCTAAGGCTTGTCATTCTAGGGGGTAAAATTACAAGTGATTGTCTTCCCTCTTTCTCCTTTTAAAACTGTTACTTATGAGGGTTTAGGGGTTTTTTGTTTTAGTTTTTTGAGATAGTCTCACTCTGTTGCCCTGAGCAGAGTGTCATGGCATTATATTAGCTCAGGGAAACCTCAAAGTCCTGAACTCGTGGAATCCTCCCACCTCAGGCTGGCCTCACCTGACCAGAGTGCCCAGCCTGTGAAGCCCCTCTGCACTGACGTTTTTGAAAAGGTCTCCTTAGTACAAATGAGGGGGCCTCTGAGCTGGGACCTAGAGCCATCCAGCCGGGCCAGGGGTACACCCTCCCTGGCCTGCTCTTGCTGCCCATCTTAGACAGTTTAGTGACATCTACCCAGAGAGGCTGAGGCCCCTGCCAGCAGCCTGCCCCCACCCCCACCCAGAGGAGGAGCCTCACTCCCAAGGACCAGTGGAAGGGAACTCTACCACCTCCCTTGGTCGTGTGTCCTCCACTGAGCCCAGACTACCCTCATCTGGACTTAACCCTCTTCGCTATAAAACCAGAAAAAAACCTTCACTTTTCATTTCTTTTGTGAAGCTTCAGGAAATTAAAAAAAAAAAAAACAAGAAGAAAATAGAAAAATTCCATTTTAATTAAACTGTTCAGTCTATATTTTCCTCTGACACTAACTGAAATTAGATACAGAAACAGAAAGTTGTTCCTGCACCTTTCAAGGTGTCTTCGAAATGTCAAGGTGTCAAAAATTATTTTACAGCAGGAATTTACATATAAACACAATCTGTACAACATGTTAACCGAACAATCGATGAGCTTCTGTCAGGGAAGAGATCTGTTTCTGGGATGAGGCCGGGTGGAATCCGATCACTGCCTCCTTAGCGGGAGACATTTCAGCCTAGAAAAGCAAGCAGAAAAGAGAGGGAAAGGGCGTTAGATTTGAATTGGAAACCCAAACAGCTCCCGGTGAGCTGAGATTCTGCAATGGGGAAAACTAACCTAGGCAGCTATAGGACTGGTGTCCCTGGGAAGGGGTGGAGGGGGCAGATTGCAATTCCAACCACAGCAGGTTGCACTGCCCCGAAGACAAGTGTCAGGGGCTCTCGCCAAGTGTGAGACCCCATGCCAGGAGCTGGGGGTGCAGATAAGACCCCTATGGGCTCAGTGCCTGTAGCTCAGTGGCTAGGGCATCAGTCACATACACCAGAGTTGGTGGGTTCGAATCCAGCCTGGGCCAGCCAAACAACAGTGACAACCTCAACCAAAAAATAGCCGGGCATGGTGGCGGGTGCCTATAGTCCCAGCTACTTGGGAAGCTGAGGCAAAAGAATCACTTAAGCCCAGGAGTTTGAGGTTGCTGTGAGCTGCGATGCCACAGCACTCTACCCAGGGTGACAGCTTGAAACTCTGTCTCAAAAAAAAAAGGCCTCCATGGTTAAGACCTTCAAACACCCCTTCCAGGAGACAGACAGAGACAGGCAGTACCCAGCATGGAGCAAGGTACTCCTCTGACTATGGGGCCTCCTTCAGCTTTTTGGGGAGAGGTTGAGAGTGTTGGGGATGAGGGGCTATGGGAATTATACCTTTAGCAACCACAAGCATAATATTTAAATATACTTCATTCCCTAGACCCTCCCTTCCACCCATCCCAGGCCCTTCCTCAGCAGTAAAGGGGGTCACGTGTGGTAAGAATCCCACCAGCCTCTTCCTATGCAAGAATGTTCATACCTATGTATAAGCACACAGGGAAATCCAAAGGCCTGAGGGCAACTTTTTTTTTTCTTTAAAGATGGGGTCTTGCTCTTGGTAAGTCTGGTCTTGAACTCCTGAGCTCAGGTAATCCACCTGGCTCAGCCTCCCAGATTGCTGGGATTACAAGCTTGAGCTACTGCACCCAGCCTGAAGAAACTAATACCATCAGTACGGAACGTATGCTATTCTTCAGCTTTTGGTCTCACAACAATAGTTTTAGATGCTGATCAGCCCACAGCCACCAGCTATGTTTCCTAACTGCTGCGCGGTGCTCCAGTCCAGCACCCCCTGCCTCGGGGACGCTGAGAGGCTCCCACCTGTGTGCCCCATATGTGGGTGCAAGTCATTCTGCAGAATGACTCATCAGGAGGTCAAAACCGGCCACAGTGATCAAACGAGGCCTTGGTGAGGTTCCGTGGGCTTGGACAAGATGTTTCTTGTCCTGTACCTTCCTTTCCCCGTCTGTGAGATGGAGTGACTGAGGATGACCTTGTAGGGTGGCATGAGCAGTAAATGAGTGTGGCACTGCACCTCCACAGTCCTCCATCCCTGTCCCACTCACACACCAGGACAGGGACCCATGAATCAGCACAGCTACTTCAGGGGACTCTGCATAAAATCCAAATGCTCACATCCTTCCTATTTTTTTTTGAACATGAGAATATACTGTCCATTTTCAAGAAATAAATGAAAAAGAACAAGGGGACGAGGCCATGGTAATTCCAGGCAGTACCAGGACAACCTCAGGCCACCCTCCAACCCGTCTCCCTCCTACAAAGACCACTCTGAACCAGAAGCAAACTGGGACCCAGAGGGACATCCTCAGTTATATTGGTTCATTTGCTAAGCCACTGAAACCCAGAGAGACATCCTCAGTTATATTGATGGTCATTTGCTAAGCCACTGGGCTTTGGAGGCTTATGTCACCTGCACCTGGCTCACTTACCCTGACTGCTACAATGGGCCATCTATTTGGAGAAAAGTAAGTCAGAGTTTACTTTGTTCATAAAAAATAAAACCAAACAATCCAAATAGATTAAACGAAAACAAAACTATAAAAGCATTGTGGAAGTGTGTGTGTTGTATGTGTGTATGTATTTCTATGTTATACATATATATAAAACCTTGGGTTAAGAAAGGCTTTTGAAAGATAAAATTGTAAAGATATCAAACAACAAAAAAATTGGTAAAATGGAGAACACCAGAAATTAAAATTAGTGGGCTGAGTGCGCTGACTCACACCTGTAATCCCAGTACTCCGGGAGGCTGAGTTGGGTAGATCACTTGAGCTCAGGAGTTCGAGACCAGCCTGAGCAAAGTGAGACCCCTTCTCTACTAAAAACAGAAAAATTAAGCAGGCATTGTAGGGGGCACCTGTAGTCCCATCTACTCAGGAGGCTGAGGGAGGAGGATTATTCTGTCTCAAAAAAAAGAATTACTGTAAGGTCTGAATTTTCATAATGATAATATAGCCACATATTAATTAAATATCAAAAAATTTTAAAGCCTAATTAATGTACAAATTGCTCATTTCTGACATTTGCCCATAAGCACTATGAGAACTCTGTGCTCCGGCAGCTACCGTCTCAGCAGCTCCTGTGGGGACACGTCCCCGCCCCCTTCCTCGTCACTCTGGCCGTCACTGCTGTCACTGCTGTCAGAACTGCTGCTTTTCTCTGTTTTTTTCTTTTGCTTGCCTTTGTGTTTGTGCTTCCTGTGTTTCTTTTTCTGTAAGGAAAAAAAGGGTGTGGGGACAAATGAGTATCCTCCTCCTAATTCAGTATAAGAACAGGCTAATGAGGGATTTGGTTGATGGAGCCATTAATAAACAAATTTTCTTTGTTTTTCTAAGACAGAGTCTCACTCTGTCACCCTGGGGATAGTGCTATGGTGTCACAGCTCACAGCAACCTCAAACTCAGGCACCTGCCACAACATCCAGCTATTTTTAGAGTCGGGGTCTCATTGTTGCTCAGGCTGGTCTTGAACTCCTGAGCTCAGGAGATCCCAGAATACTGGGATTACAGGTGGAGTTAAAAAAAATTTTTTTTAGGCTTGGCGTCCACAATGGTTATAGCACCAGCCACATACACTGAGGATGGCAGGTTCAAACCCGGCCCCGGGCAACTAAACAATGACAACTGCAACAAAAAATAGCTGGGTATTGTGGCAGGCGCCTAAAGTCCCAGCTACTTGGGAGGCTGAGGCAAGAGAATCACTTAAGCCCAAGAATTTGAGGTTGCTGTGAGCTGTGATGCCATGGCACTCTGCCGAGGGTGACATAGTGAGACTTTGTCTCAAAAATAAATAAATAAATGAATGAATAACTGAACAAATTAGAATATTCTGCTTAGAAAGAACAACAAAGTTTCTGAAAACTGAACATTCTTGTGAAGGCAGAGAGAGACCTGCACGCCCTCATCACAAGTGCCCCCATGGCTGAGGAGTGGTGCTGGGAGCTGCTGGGGGCCCCTCGGGCTGACAGACTTGGGCTGAGACCCCCAGGTCCTGGGACCCCCAAGTTTCTCACCTTCTCCTTCTTTCGTTTGTGGTCTTTCTTAGCCTTATGTTTTTCTTTGTTCTTCTTGTGTTTCTCTTTCTGAGGTTCCTTGGGTTTCTGACGAGCATCTGAAACACAAATGTGATAAGCACAAGACCTATAGGGAAAAAATAAAAACTGTTCTAAAAAGTAAGTTTCTATGCTATAAGAAATAAAAAAAAAAAAAAAAAGCTTGAGCCATAAAGGATAAAAAAAAAAAATTAAGTTTCTAAATTACCAAATTAGGAGCCTGATGGAGACAGATGTTTATCATTGGCCCTTTGATTTGTATCTGCCCCACTGATAGACAGGTCAGCACACTCATCTATAGCTACATTTATTTTTTGTTTTTTTTTTGAGACAGAGCCTCAAGCTGTCCCCCTGGGTAGAGTGCCGTGGCATTACAGCTCACAGCAACCTCCAACTCCCGGGCTCAAGCGAGTCTCCTGCCTCCGCCTCCCAAGTAGCTGGGACCACAGGCGCCCGCCACAGCGCCCGGCTATTTTTTGGTTGCAGCCGTCATTGTTGTTTGGCGGGTCCGGGCTGGGGATTCGAACCCGCCACCCTAGGTGTACGTGGCTGGCGCCTTAGCCGGTTGAGCTATAGGCGCCGAGCCTATAGCTACATTTAGACAACTGCTAGACACTTCAACAATCCGATCAGTATCCCACCACAGCCTTATCTGCCAGATGAGGTAAAGGCCGACCAGTGGCCAGAAGCCTTCTCTTCAGGCAAGTGCAGAGACGACCAGCACTGGAAACTCAGCTCTGCCACCAGCTCTGCGACCTTTCATGCATTGCAAAACCCCTCCAAGTCCCAGTTTCCCCACCAGAAAATGGGGATAATAAGAATCCCTATCCTTTTAGGGTGGTGGTCCCTGATAAAGTCAGACAAAACCCACCCTCCACCCAGGAAGAAATGAACACATGAACGTCCCACCCAGGAAAGAGTAAATGAGCCAATCCCACCCCCCCACCCTCTAAGTTTCCATTCACCTTAACCCACGTGCTGACTTCCTTCTCCAACTCAGCTCACAGGCACCCAGGTGGGAATAAAGGCCGCTGTTACCTACACAGAACCTGGACTCCATTTCCTTTCATGCATGTTCAGAATAATCTTTTATTTTTGGTCTTTGACCTCTCAGTCCCCACCATCTTGGCACCAGGGACCAGATTCATGGAAGACAATTTTCCACAGACTGGAGTATAGGGGGTGGGGACTAGATTCTCATAAGGAGCTAGAAACTCAGATCCCTCACACCTACAGGGTTCGTGTTCCTATGACAATCTAATGTACCCCTGATCTGACAGGAGGCAGAGGTTAGATGAGCATGGGGAGCCCCATCCTCCCCAGTGCACACCTGCTGTGCAGCCCAGTTCATAACAGGCCACACACCAATGCTGTCTGCAGCCTGGGGGCTGGGAGCACACTTCTAGGAACCTGACTGGATTAGACAGGGCCATGCATGTGAACCCCATATCCCAGCATCTGGCACATAAATGTCAGCTCTTCTTACATCGTCTTCCCTTATCAAAAACACATTTGGTAAGAATTTGTCTTATAAGTGGAACACTAAAATAATAGCATTGAAACAATCTCATGTATGTAATCATTCAAAATAACCAAAGAAACTGCATGTACCGAGATTCTCTACCTCCAAATTCAGACCAAAACGTTTCCACGGTACTCAAAACCATTAATTTCAGGTACTCAAAACCAACAAACATTCACAATGGGAGAAGCAAAGCAAGCCAGGAAGTCATTTCTTCAAGGCGTTTCAGGAGTCTGGATATTTTCCAGACCCAGTTAGGAGGCATCTGCAATCTTCTAGTCCTCAGATTTTTCAAAATTTGACCTCTCCAAGCTTTTCATTTAATGCTAGTGTTTGAAAAATCACTTCTTGCCGGGAATGGTGGCCCACATCTGTGATCTCGGCATTCTGGGAGGCAGAGGTGGGTAGATCCCTTGAGCTCAGAACCAGCCTGAGCAAGAGTGAGACCCCATGTCTACTAAAAATAGAAAAATTAGCCAGGCATTGTACAGGTGCCTATGGTCCCAGCTACTTGGGAGGCTGAGGTAAGAGGATCACCTGAGCCCAGGAGTTTGAGGTTGCTGTGAGCTGTGATGATGCCACCACACTCTACCCAGGGTGCCAGAGTGAGACTCTGTCTCAAAAATAAAAAAATAAAAAATATTTTATTTGCTATAGCCAAAGTGAAAAAGAATCTTAAAATACTCTCCCGGCTATTCCCTCCCATCTTTCTATGCTAGATTTTTTACTTTTTTCTTTCTCTCTTTTTCCTTAAGCTGTGTTGGACATGAAAATTTAGGATCCTACTATAAAAATCTAGGAAAATTTAGGATCCTACTGTAAAAATCTGAAATTAAGGAAAAACAGTTTCATGGTCTCTGAAGCTACACAGCACCAACAAATACTTAGACACTAGGTGAAGAGGGGCTTCCAAGCAGGCCTGAAAACAGATAAATCAGACACAATGCACAGGCATGGTCGGCCTCAGGGAGATAGACGGGTGACAGCATCATCAGAGAGGAGACCCAGAGAGGCCCGCACTCACTGGGGCAGAAGACCGGGGGCAGGCGAGGGCCGAACTCTTCTCTTTCTTCAATCTGCATCTTTTGTATAGGGAACGAAGGTGCCGGTGGCTCATGGGGAGCTGGCTCAGGAGCTGGAAAACACCAGGTTATTAATTTCATTCACCTGCCCAATATTAATGTGCCCGAGTCTCTCATTAACGTCTGTTGCCACCAGATAACGCGTGCTTTTCTTTACCACTTGGCTTACCTAGGCCACATGCATCCAGGGCCCCAGCACGGGAGGGGAGGGTACCAAGGAGCACACACTCTGGACTCCCTTACACCTGAACGAGAGTCCAAACATGTCCCCGGGAAAGGGCCGTCGGAGAAGAAATCAAAACTTACATGCAGGGATATGAGACTGTGTCCCATCCCAGAAAAATGAGGGAGAATAATTCCTCTCAAAATTAGTAATCATAGAAAAAAACCCAAAGATATATGATCATGTTGCAATAATGACCTTGTTTTTTAAGCAGGGTACAAGGTTTACAGATAGAAGATATATAAAAATGGAAAAAGTCTGTAAAACACATCAAAATGTTAACAGTGGTTACTTCTGGGATATGGAATGACAGAGAATCAAGCTTTCTACATTTCTATACTTTCAAAAATTTTAAATTCAGGTATATTTGACTTTGCAATAAAAAAATGTGTTATTTTTCCCCATAGAAAAAAGAAATAGGCTGGGGTGGGGCCTGTGGCTCAAGGAGTAGGGCGCCAGCTCCATATGCCAGAGGTGGTGTGTTCAAACCCAGCCCCGGCCAAAAACTGCAAAAAAAAAAAAAAAAGAAAAGAAAAGAAATTCTGATGATATTCACAATCACCTAAGGGGGGAAAATATTTTATATTTCTATGTAATTTTTTGTATAAAAGCCCTCAAAAATTAGGCGGCACCCATACTCAGTGGGTAGGGTGCCAGCCACATACACCGAGGCTAGCAGGTTTGAACCCAGCTCGGGGCCAGCTAAACAACAATGACAACTGCAACAAAAAATAGCCGGGCATTGAGGCAGGTGCCAATAGTCCCAGCTACTTGGGAGGCTAAGGCAGGAGAATAGCTTAAGCCCAAGAATACGAGGTTGCTGTGAGGTGTGAAGCCATGGCATTCTACCGATGGTGACATAGTGAGACTCTGTCTCAAAAAAAAGAAAAATTACCCCCAAGTCCACCATCAACTGACAGGAGCAGACAGAACCTCTAAGACAGTGCCTTTCACCTGCTGTGCGGTGGCACACTGTGTGCCTCAGGAGGATCTCAGGTATGCCTCGAAATTTTTTCATGAATTAAATTATTTTCAAAAGAAATTCAAAGCATAGTAAGCATATTCTTTTTTTCAATCTTTTTTCTGATCAACATAATTTAAGTGTGCCATGGAAGTTTAACTATAGGTTCAAAGTGTGCCATAAGATTAAAAAAAGGTTGAAAAACACTGCTCTGGCTCAGCGCCTGTGGCTCAAGTGGCTAAGGCACCAGCCACGTACACCTAAGGTGGCGGGTTCGAATCCAGCCTGGGCCCACCAAACAACAATGATGGCTGCAACCAAAAAACAGCTGGGCATTGTGGCAGGCGCCTGTGGTCCCAGCTACTTGGGAGGCAGAGGCAGGAGACTCGCTTGAGCCCAGGAGTTGGAGGTTGCTG